CTCCTAGCTTCCTGCATCTCACGGTCCCCTTTTCCAGGTAACCGAAGGGACTGATTTCCAGGTACACAGCCTAGATGGGGTACCTCTGAAAAGTGAGAAGGTTTCAGTTCACATCCAGGGCACGTGGAGGCAGGTTGGCAATCTCCAGGGCTCCCATGGCACGTGATGATGTGCTGGAGACCATGGCATCCAGCTGCCTCTGGGCTCAGCCCTTGCAAGTCCATGAGCACCTTGGTTTGTCTGAAACAGATCTCTGGTTCTGTCCCTCATCTAGATGCAACAGGACTCCCAGCCTCCACTCTTCCCCTGTCCCCAAATCCACTTCCTGGCCAATGCAGACAGGGGCCTCATTTACTCCAGACCATTCTCAGCTCTCCTTTGCTCTCAGAACGAAGTCTAAGAGGCCTCATGTGACAAATGTGGCTCTGCATTAATACAGTTCTCAAGAGCCCAGACTTCAGGCTCAGGTCCCCCTGAGTTTGAACCTTGGGGTCGTCCAAGATGCAAACTCAAGTGCACCTGAGTTTGAGACCTTGAACAATTTTCTTAGCCTCTGGAAGCCTCAGTTTCCTTGAACGTAAAATTGTAATAATGCTACCTACTACAAAGGGCTATTGTGAGGCTTCTGCACCCAACCCTGGGCTTGGGATAGAGCAACAGGTTTGGAGGCCAGTGCATGGAATGAAAATTGAGGATGAGGTGGGGAGGGGGTGGCTGCCAGAACTGAGGAAGATGATGAGACGAGCTTTGGACATGCTGAGTGAAAGGAGCCTGTGGGTGTCCAAGGGGGGTGTCCAGGGGCAGCTGGACACACAGGCCTGGAGTCAAGAGCAAGGCCTTGGCTAGGAAGGAGTGTGGGAGTCCCCAGCATGTGAGTAGGAAGATGAGCTCATGGTGGGGGAAAGGACCAGGGGTGAGGCCTCCACAGCCAGAGCTTCACTCACAAGGAGAGAAGCTTGCAAAGGAGGCCGAGGAGAACCAAGGAGGTAGGAGGAAATTCAGCAGCGGTGGCTTCACAGGTGCCAAAGGGGAAAGGTCTTGGGGCAGTGAGGAGTGGCCAGCAGGGCAGAGGCTTTGAGGATGCTAAGTTAACTGAAAGCAGAGATGTGTCTATGTTATTTGGGGACTAGGATGTCATTCACTGGTGATCTCTGGCAAGGTCAGGAGGGGGAGCTGACTCAGAGCTAGAGTGAGGGAGGGGAGAGGGGAGATGGTGATTGTAGACAATTTTAGAGAAATGTGGCTGAGAATAGTGGTGGAGAGCATGAGAACAGCACTTGAGGAAAGGGGTATAGGATTGAGGTGAAAGAAGTTCTTTATTGTGGTTACGGGGGGAGAGGCCAGAGCTGGTTGCATGCTGCCAGGAAGGGGCCAGTGGTTAGTTATTATATCCATGGTGCCCAGCAAAGGGCCTGGAATGCAGTAGGAACTCAATAAAAATTTGCTGCATTTGAGGACAGGGAGGGATGGGGTCTGGAACCTGGGTGGAGGACTGGCCATTGGCAGGAAGGGAGGCCCCTCTTTGCAGGGGAGGGAGATGTGGCGGGGTGCCAGGAGTGAGCAGAGTGCAGGACAGGGCCTCCTTAGGAGTCTGCTGCTTCTGAGCTGGACCACAGAGGGAGGAAGAGGTGATAAGGGTGTGCTTGGCTCCAGCAACCCCGGTGTGGCCAGGGGACAGAGCATGAGCGCTTGGACACTGCTACCTGGCACCGCCCCACACACACCCCCACCACACCCCACCCCACCCCACCACCATTCCTCAAATCCAGCGGTCACCTTCCCTTTATCCCCTTCAGAGCGGCACCCTCCCCAAAAGGCCAGCAGATGGTGCCAGTGAATTGCTGGACTCAGCTGGACCAGACCAGAGCCAACCTGCCAGTCCCCAACCCACCTCTGGGCCCTCCAGAGCCTGGGGCATGCTAAGGCTTTGGCTCTCCAGGTTTCTAACCAAAGTGGAGTGGGAGCGCAGGACTAAGGACAAAGATTATGGGCTGAGAGCATAGGGGTGGGTGGGTCAGGGCCTCTCTTCCTGCTGGTAGCCCTTCATTCCTCAGGCCCTGCCTTATCTGCTGAGGCCCTACCCTCTGCCCCCCTTCCATTCTCCTCCCTGGAGGCCCTGCCAGCCTAGACTCCTGGTTCTGGCAGAGGCTGGTTCTCTGCCCCTGGGCAGGCACAACTTGGCACCAGGCCTCAGACAGGGCTGGGCCAGCCCTTCCCAGCCATGACCGCCAGAACCACCTTCTTTCCACTTCCAAGACCATCTCCACCTGGTGAGGGGTAAGGGGTCAGCTGCTGAGGAGGCCACAGGGGGCTGGAGCATAGATCCTAGGAAGGAGTCTTGGCCTCCTGGCCTAAGAAGTGGAGTGAATTAGGAGGTGAGAGATTTATATAAAAATGTGGTAGAGGGTCCGGCCCCGTGGCTGAGGTTGAGTCTGCGCGCTCTGCTTCGGCAGCCTGGGGTTTCGCCGGTTCTGATCCTGGGCACGGACATGGCACCGCTCATCAAGCCATGCTGGGGCGGCATCCCACATGCCACAATTAGAAGGACCCACAACTAAAAATATACAACCATGTACTGGGGAGCTTTGGGGAGAAAAAGGAAAAATAAAATCTTTAAAAGAAAAATGTGGTAGATTATCCAGTCCCACAAGACCCAAACCACACAAGACTCATGGTTGTGTCCAAGGTGGTACAATGTCCCAGCAGCTCAGCTGGAAACATCCCCTCTTCATCCTAGCCATCCTATTCTCCGCAGCCAAAGGCAATTCCCTATACTCCCTCTCAGCAAGTCCCTCTCCCCATCGTGGGCTTCCCAATGAGTCAGGATCCTTCATGTTTCCTTCCCAGGATAGTGTAGGATCCTGTTTCTCAGTCTCTGTTCTCACCTTGCTTTCCTGCTTCCACCTCCCTACCCTTCGACTCCTGCTCTGGCAAGTGCTGGTACTACCTGTGTGACCTTGACCTTGAAGGCTGCCTGGGACCCCCACCTCACTCCCTCACCTACACCCCCTCCCTAGTCCCAAGGGGGAAGCCCTTAATGGGCTGAAGCTGGAGAAACCACAGTCAGACTCTCAGTAGGGTGACCAGAGCTGGGGGATCCCACCAATCCAGGGTCTACAGCTCAGATCAGAAAGCCAGGCCAAGGGTGCTGTGTCTACCACTAAGCCTGGGCCATAGATTCAGGACAACAGGAGTTGGTAGGTTATGGAAAAGGAACATTTCCCTAAGTTTCCAAAGGATGACCAGACCGAAGGAGAGAGAATCACTGGAAATACACAAAGCACACACAAATGTACTCACAAGCACATACAAGGTCATGGCACAGGGACAGACACACTATGCATGCTTGGACAAGCTATGGAGCCCATGGACACGCGTATATACTAATATAGGCACCCAAGGTCGTGTACCCAAGGTCAGGCTCACACAGCCTCCTCAAGCAAGTCCTGCCTCCCAGGGCCAAGGCTAGCCTGATGTCTGTACTTACAGGAGGAGGAATAGGTAGGGGCACAAGAGTGGCTCTGGATAGGAGATGGGTCCTCCACCCGAGCCTGTCCCCTTAAGTGGGTCTGGCTCCCAGCCATCTCCCTGAGACACCCCTGGAGGCTATGCCTGGGTGGCAGAGAAGGCTTTGGAGGAAGCATTGCCTTGAAGCCCTAGCAAAAAGCCTTGGCACCTAAGATAGAGAATGGGCAACAGGGCTGGGAGGGGCCAAGACCTCCCCGGACCTAGTTGGGGCATGGATGAGGCACTGGGCAAGGCCCAGAGGCCCACAGGAAACAGGACCCCCCTCCGCCATGGGCTGCACCTACTGCCCTCAGTATAGGGCCTGGCAGTCAGGTACTGGCACCAACTCCTAGTGTCTGGCAGAGCCCTGGCATGGATGCCAAGCACAGGGTGCCAGACATGGGGGTGGTCAGGGTGGGGGGCCTTCAGGCCACACACAAACACAGACCTTCATATACACAGGCAGGGAAATGCACCCATACTCACATCACTTATTTTATACCCTGGGGAATCATGGGAGCAGTGCAGGGATCACCCTGTCCTAGAGGTGCCCTCACTGACTCCCCAGGTGTCCCCATTGGCCTGGCTCTTGGAGTCCCTGGGGTTGGAGGGTGGGCTGGAAGTAACGGGAGGCCGACACGCTTCCTCTGAACCCCTCTCCCCACCCACCCTCACACACATACACTTGTGTGGCAAGGCTGGGCCGTGGAGGGAAGGGGGAAGGCAGGCAAGAGATTCCCGAGAACCCGAGCTCGGGAGCTCCCGCCCCAAGCCGGATCTGTGGTGGCGGGCAGCTTAGGTGTGAGCGTGCCTCAGGGCGTGTGTGCGGGGGACCCGCGGCCGCCACGGCGCACGGCGTGGGAGTGCGGCGCGTGTGCGGGCGGCGGCCACGTGCGGGAGGGCCAGTTCCCCGCGGTGTGCCGGCAGGCCCGGCGGCAGCGGCAGTGCTACCAGTGGGGAGCTTGAATGGAAGTTGTGCGCGTCCTCAGGTGTCCCGAGCTAGTGTGAGCTGGATGTGCTCACCTGGGAGCGGCGGCTCAGCGGCCCTGGGCACGTTTGTGGGGCGTAGGGGTGAGCGGACGCAGGGCACAAGGACTAGACCGACCGGCCCTCTCCCGGCGCGGCCCGCGGCGAGGCGGCTCCTCCTTGAGCAGCAACTTTAGGACTTTGTTCCGGCTTCTTCGAAAGCGGATCTGGTAGCTGGGGTGGGGCGGAGGGGTGGGGGGGCACCTGCCCTGCGCGGGGTGCACGGAGAGAAGTGGAGGAAAGCCCCGCCCCAACCCCCTCCTCCGCTCCGCCCTCTCCCCGCCCTCGGGGCTCTTTATAAGCTCGGCCCGAGGGCGAACAGAGAAAGCCAGTATCTCTCCCGCCCCTGGCCGGTGTTCTGCTGCACCCCGCGCCTGCCCACCCCTGCCCCGAGTCCTTGTCCTTCTCCCCGCTCCTCAGCCCGGTCCCCGCCCCGCCCCGGTCCAGCCCGGCCCAGCCCGGCCGCCATGGAGCGCTGGCCTTGGCCGTCGGGCGGCGCCTGGCTGCTCGTAGCGGCCCGTGCGCTGCTGCAGCTGCTGCGCGCAGACCTGCGTCTGGGCCGCCCGCTGCTGGCGACACTGGCGCTGCTGGCCGCGCTCGACTGGCTGTGCCAGCGCCTGCTGCCCCCGCCGGCCGCACTCGCCGTGCTGGCCGCCGCCGGCTGGATCGCGTTGTCCCGCCTGGCGCGCTCGCCGCGCCTGCCGGTGGCCACTCGCGCGGTGCTCATCACCGGTGAGTGAGCGGGGCGCCGAAAGCGGGGACTCCAGGCTCGAGGGCGGAGCCAGACACGCAGAGGGCTCCCCATGGGCACGCTAGGGCAAGGTGGGCCCCCCCATCGCAGTGGAGGGAGAGTTCTGTCCCTCCTCTGGGTGCAGAGAGCGAGCCAAGTAGGAAACGCAGGGTACCTTCCCAAGTCCGGGTTAACTACCTGCCGCGGTGAGGAGTGTTGGAGGGAAAATGAGGCACGGAGTGGGCAGGTGCGCAGGGGAAACTAGTGGCTGAGAAAGACGGAGCCTCCTGGAGTTTGGGGTTTATGCTTTTTCCCTCCCCAACAAAGCAGTCTTCCGAAAGGAGAGAGTGTTCAGAGGGACTTTAGAGGATGGTCACCCCTTGAACTCTGCCTAACATTGCCACGTGGGAGGCCCCATCTCCTCTTCTCTGGGGCCAGAAGAAGCCACTTGGGTGGAGAATTGGGACCCCCCCACCCCACCCTCCAATTGGCTGGGAACCTTGGAGTCGAGAAAAGCTTGAGGTCACCATGAAAGGCAGCTGGGCATTCAGCTGCCTCTCAGATCCTGTTACCCACCCCCAAACTGCTGAGGTAGCAACCTAGAGTCTGCACCCAGCACCCCACCCCACATTCCTCCTGGCCCTCCATGCCCAGGAAGGAGGTCTTGGAGAGCTGCTGAGGTGCGTCTGGCCGCCTGCCTGAGCTCCCTTTGTCTGGAGCAGGGAATAAATCTGTCACCAGAATGAGGGAAGGGGAAGGGGGGGCTAAGGCCAAACAGGAAGTGGGGAGGGGGAGAAAGGCCAAGGGGCACTGGCTCCATTGTATGGGGGAAGGGACAGCCTAGACTCTCCCACAACTCCCATAGCTTTGGACAGGTGCTCAGGGCTCTGCCCTTGCATTGGGGCTGGGCTGGGCGCAGCCACCAGACTAGCTTCTTCTTTTTTTTTTTTTTTTAATTTTTTTAAAGATTTTATTTTTTCCTTTTTCTCCCCAAAGCCCCCCGGTACATAGTTGTGTATTCTTCGTTGTGGGTTCCTCTAGTTGTGGCATGTGGGACGCTGCCTCAGCGTGGTCTGACGAGCAGTGCCATGTCCGCGCCCAGGATTCGAACCGACGAAACACTGGGCCGCCTGCAGCGGAGCGCGCGAACTTAACCACTCGGCCACGGGGCCAGCCCCCAGACTAGCTTCTTAGAGACCTCGTTCCAGTAGGGGGCCCTGCATGATCAGATGGAGCTGGGAGAAGTTCCCAGAGCAGGCCATCCTTGAGCTGGGCATCAGAGGATGAGTGGAGATAGGTGGGGTGTGGAAGGTGTTTTGGATCAGACAGAGTGTGGGACAAAGGCTTGAGGGAGAATGAACATGGCATGAGTAGGAGACAATGGGTAACCAGTCTGGTTGCTGGGATGTGAGGTTGTTTCCTCAGAAGGGGCCTCGAATGCTAGGCAAGAAGCCAGACTGTGCTGAGGTGGAATAGGAGTCAGGGCGCCATGAGAGCCTTGGGCTTCAGCAAAGAGGAGAGAGATAGGGCAGGGCTCAGGCTGCAGGGAGAAACCTGAGTTCAGAGTGCAGTGCAAAGCCTCAGGGGACCCCAGTTTCAGGGGTTTGAGGAAGGAAAGATGACAGACCCTCCTGGAATGAAGTAGGGACTAGGTTGTGAGCTCTGCTCCCAGGGACAAGGCAGCTCCCCTCTTGCCTTCTAATTTGTGAGCTGCCTCAACAGGACCCAGGCTATCTGCGTGTACTAGTGACCCAGTAGGCGGTCTTTCCTGAAATCTCGCCTCACACATTTTTCTGCTGCTGTTACTTCTCCTAGCTTTGAGCCTGAGAGTGAGGTGAGTGGAAGGACACCTTCTGTAACTTGGGCTCCCCCATCTCTGGTTGCAAAGCCCTGTGATGGGGGAGCTCACCTCATGTAAGCATCAGAAGTGGGTCTTCAAGCTTCCCACTGCCCGAAACTCGGATTTCCTCTCTCACCACCTGACTGCAAGACAAGTAGGTGACCAGGCCCTGCCCCACCTGCCAGGAACATGGTGTCTTGAGCCTGCCAGGGCTGCTACCCACCCCTCCCTGAGAATGCCCTGAAAACCACTGGCCAAGGCTTGTCCTGGAGCTCAGCCCAGGGGTCAGAGTTTGGGCTGAGTGACTGGGTGCCTTGTGTGCACATCTGTGCACTGATGGGTGGCAGCAGTCTCATGAGAGTGAGCCTGTGTGTGAATATGCTGGCAGGTCGGAGGTATGTAGATGAACAAGAGGGTGTAGAAGGTGGGTGAGTGTTGGGACTGCAGAGCTGAGGCTCTGGAGGCCTCAGTTTCCCTGTGAAGGGCCTGTCTGCACTTGGGGGGAGCTTAGGCAAGTGGACACACACTTGTGCTCACTCCCCTCCTGCAGCCAGACTTGCCCAGGAACGACCCCTCAGCCCTGGCTGGCTGGCCACACAATGCCCAGCTCGCAGCCCCCAGCCCAGCTTTGTTCTCTGCCTCAGCAGAGGGGGCGGGGCTGTGATGGGGATGGGGGCAGAGCCTCCTGGAGTGGGGAAGCAGAGTGACTTGCAGCTTCTGCTCAGCAGGACCACCAGAAGGGCAGGCTTCAAAGAGCCTCCTCCCTCACTGGCCTTCCCCATCCCCTCGCTGGCCACCCACAGAGCCAGGATCAGAATGGGAACAATCAAGGAAGCAGGGGCTTATCTGACCCCTACTCTGGCTCTGCCTGGTGGTTCCTCTCTCTACATACCAAAGTCAGGAAATTAAGCCTCCAAGAGTGGTAATTGACCTCAGGTCACACTTGTTGGGTGTGGGAAGGGATTGAAACGCAGGTCTGTTCTCTACTCCATCCATCATCATCCCTGTCCTGAGGGCAAGTGATCTGGGGCTCAGAGAATGCCCTACTGTTGCCACTGATGAAATTCCATGGGTGAGGGTCAGGGGTGACATGCGGATGGGCCTCCAGCTTGCCTAGAGCCTGGAACAACAGTAGGGGGTGTTGAGGTTGGGAAGGGAGGGGGGCGGCTCAGGTTGTGCAGGGCCTAGATAAGCAGAGGGCTTGGGCTTCATCCTAAGGGTTGTGGGAGCTTTGGAAAGGTTTTCAGCAGCAGAGTGATAGTGTCATTTTTGGAGAGATCTCTCTGGCAGCTTAGAGAGAGAATGGATTCAAAGGGGCAAAATGGGACAGGACTAAAAAGCAGGCTGCTTCCAGGTAAGAGGAAGAAGCCTGGGCAAGGGCAGCGAGAAAGGAAGGGAGAGGTTGCTGCTATCTCCCTGATACCGAGCAGGCATAAGGACATCAGAGCTGGGACTGGGTCTCAGGCTGCCCTATGGTAGAGTCCTGACCTTACTTTTTCCTGGCTGAGTGCCTTTGGGAAGCAACAGCATTACTAGGTCTGTTTCCTCATCTCTAAAGTGGGAATCATAAGCTCTGTTTGATCGAGTAGCTATGGGGAGTCAGGGAGGTGACAGCTGTGAAAGAGCTGGTGCTCAGGTGCTCAGCTAGAGGGGCAAAGCCTGCCAGAGACTGGCCTAGGAAAAGAGGGAGGACTGCTGACTGCTGGTAGATTGGGTGTCCAGGGGCCTGGATCCTAGGGTGTCTCAGGCTGGACTAGGCCACAGTGGAAGTTCACTGGCTGTTCTGCCCTGGCCAGGCTGTGACTCTGGTTTTGGCAAGGAGACGGCCAAGAAGCTAGACGCCATGGGCTTCACCGTGCTGGCTACCGTGTTGGAATTGGATAGCCCTGGTGCCCTGGAGTTGCGTGCCTGCTGTTCTCCTCGCCTAAGGCTACTGCAGATGGACCTGACCAAGCCGGCGGACATTAGCCGTGCACTGGAGTTCACAAAGACCCACACCACCAGCACAGGTCAGTGGGTGTGGCTCTACCAGGAGAGGGCATGGCTGCATGGGTGGGTGTGAAGGGGCAGGGATTGGAGGTTTGCTGCTGAGCTGACCTGCAGCTTTTCTCCCCGCTCCATGCCCTCAGGTCTGTGGGGCTTGGTCAACAATGCGGGCCACAACGATGTAGTGGCTGATGTGGAGCTGTCTCCAGTGGCCACATTCCGCAGCTGCATGGAGGTGAACTTCTTTGGCGCGCTTGAGCTCACCAAAGGCCTCTTGCCATTGCTGCGCCGTTCCAAGGGTCGCATTGTGACTGTGGGCAGCCCGGCAGGTGAGTGCCCTCCCCCACTTGAGCAGAAAAGATGCTGCTGAGGTGCAGGGGAAGGGATTCTGGAGCCCCGGGCCCAGGCTGAGCTGCCCGACTCCCAATCCATCCCCAGGAGACATGCCATATCCATGCTTGGCGGCCTATGGGACCTCCAAAGCCGCCATGGCACTGCTCATGGATACATTCAGCTGTGAACTTCTGCCCTGGGGAGTCAAGGTCAGCGTCATCCAGCCTGGCTGCTTCAAGACAGGTAGGGGTTGGGGTTTGGGGCTGGGAAAAGAGGGATGGGTGTGGTCTTATCTGGGGTGGGGTCAGGTTTGAGGATGGGTGTGGCTTTGGCTGGAGGCAGGTCTTGGGTTGTGGGTTAGACAGACCTGGATCTGGCTTTGACTTCCCTAACTGATCCCACTCTCACCTTGCCACTCCTTCCCCAGAGTCAGTGCTAAACGTGGGCAATTGGGAGCGGCGCAAGCAGCTGCTGCTGGCCAACCTGCCCCGAGAGCTGCTGCAGGCCTACGGTGAGGACTATATTGAGCACTTCCATGGGCAGTTCCTGCATTCCCTGCGCTTGGCGCTGCCAGACCTCAGCCCAGTTGTAGATGCCATCACTGATGCACTGCTGGCAGCTCAGCCACAACGCCGCTATTACCCGGGCCATGGCATGGGACTCATGTACTTCATCCACTACTACCTGCCTGAGGGTCTGCGGCGCCGCTTCCTACAGACCTTCTTCATTAGTCCCTGTCTGCCAAGAGCCCTGCGGCCTGGCCAGCCCAGCCCTACCCCCTCCCAAGATGCAGCCCAGGACCCAGACTCAAGCCCAGGCACTTCCCCCACGGCGGCCCGATGAGCAATATGCACATATGGCCTAGCTGCTCCAGCAGAGGAGCTCCCATGAGCTCTTGACTCTCCTCTAGACATTGTGACCCCCAGGTCTGCCCTGGGGCCTGGCCTAAAGGACTCCAGCCCCACCCACTGCTGATGCCCCAGGTCAAGCCTGTTGAGGCTGAGGCTTCCCAGTGAACAGCTAGCCTCTCTCTGCTGCTTCATGAGCCCGATAGACCCTCCTAGGCACAAGGCTCCACCCTGCAGCTTGAAGAACCCAGCTGGATGGGGAGTTTAGTGCAAGACTTAGCTGTAGTTTGACAGGATCCTGCCATAGTTTGCCTCTGCAAACTAAGGAGTGACTGGGTGGGTTGGGGACTCCCTGAGGATTATTTCTCGGTACCAGTGCCTCACTGCTGCAATGCAAAGGGTGAATCCCAGCTGTTTCTTGACTGGCTCAAGAATTGGAGCCCCACCCACCCCAAGCCCCCCAAGCCACACAGAAGCTGAATACCCTACTTGCTTGTCACTTTTTAAATAAAGATAAATTTTATTTCTCCTAGAATGGGGGAGATGCTGTATTTGGAGGGGGTGACGGCTGGGTGACAGGCTGTGGCTGTGTGACAGACTGGGAACCCTGGGGGCTCTGCATGGGCTCTGGGCACAGACTCTTGTTCATATCTACCCTCCTTCATTCACCTTGAGCAGATCATTTATCCATAGGTTTGGGTTTCCTCATTGTGAAATGGGGTTAATGCCCCCGGCCCAGGGAGTTGTGGGACTCAATGATGCAAACAGGGAGGCCTGGGGGCCCTCCAGGGCCAGGACTTGGCTCCACAGGCCTGTCTGAGCCTCCAGCAGAGGAAAGGGCCATCCCTCCAGTGACTTCCCCCACCCTGAAAAATCTAGCTGCATGGGGAGAGGACCAGCCTAGGGCTGCCGACTGGAGAGAGAGAGAGAAGGCTTAGGCGGTGGTGGACTCAGCAAGGGGGGACCCTAGGGAAGTTGGGGGTCTGGGAGAGGTACTAGGGCCCAGAAGAGATAGCAGACAGCCGGGAGTAGAGAGAACAGTTTATTGTCTCAGAGGCAGAGCTGAGGGAGGGGGCTACAGAGCTACTTCCTCCCCGCTCCAAGGACACACACACTTTATCCCCCACCCCAGACCGTGGCTCTGGGGCTGACCCACAGACGGAAGGGGAGGTTCGCCGCTGCCCCCAGGGGTTCTCAGGTCAGGGAGGAACATAAAAGTGACCACATGCTTCTCAGACATGTCAGTGGCTGTAAACATAGGGCTGAGGGAGCCTCCGTGCTCTGGAGTGGGAGGGTGCTGGGGAGGGCTGGTCCATCCTTGCCTGGGGAGGGGAGCAGGTGCCTAGCCCCTTTTCAGGCCCAAGAGTAGTCTCAGAGAGGGTCAGGGAAGCTGGGCGGCTGGGAGGACAATGTGCTACCCCCCAGGGCAGGTAGGTGAGCCGTGGGCTTTGTCACAGCACGCACAGACACACACACTTGTGGGGAGCCCTGGGCCAGGGCACTAGAAGATGGGGATGTAGTTATCGATCTTGGCGCGGTGGCGCTGGGCGATGCACTCAGCAATCCACACAATGTTGCGACACTCCTGTTCCTTGAGCTTCACAAAGGCATAGAAGACACCAAAGTGGAACTGGTTCAGGAAGGCCAACTTGTTCAGTTTCACCTGTGGAAACAGGCGTGGTGTGCAGGTGGCCATGACCGCAGAGTCAGGCCTGAGCCACCAACCCCTCCCTATGACAGGAAGGCCCAGCACTCACCTCGTGCTCAAAGAATCGGTCCTCCAGGGTCTTGTCTCCAGGGTTGCTGCCTGCACCCTCGAAGAGCAGCTTATACTCCTGGTGCAGGGCAGTGGTGTGAAGCATGAGCATGGGGGCACTGTTGGGTGTGGGCTGGGTATGCGGGCACCAATATGCCCACCCACCGTCCCATAGCCAGGACACTCACCGGGTAGTAGTCAGCCACATTCTTGACCTGCTCATAGTCGTCAGCTCGAGCCAGCTGGGCCAGGCCCTCAGGGTAGAGCCGCCCACAGTGCGGAAACAGCTTGGCACGGTCCTCCTTGGTCAGCTCTGTGCCGAAGGAGTTGATGGTGATGATGAAGGCGCGGCGGTCTGCTTCAAACTGGGGCCAGTGCACAGGCAAGGAGAGAGGGAGGGGAAGGGAGGAAGTGGCCAGTCAATTGGCATGGCTCCCCCAAGGCCAGGGCTACCAGGGACCAGGAGGCAGGAGAGTCGGTAGGCACTTACCTCCAGGATGGGGCACATGGCGTCAGCCGTGGTCCCTCCTAGTAAGGTGCAGAACTTGTAGAAGGACTCCAGGTAGGCCTGTGCAGAGCATGGAGCTTGCTCAGCGCAGGTGGGGAGACTCTAGGGGGCTTGCCAGGCCTCCTACTCACAGTTCTCTCCTTCCCTCCTGAGCCCTTTTCATGGTGAGTCCAAACATCACCCCCATGGATTGGCCAGGGCAGCCCCCAAGTCAGACCCCTGAAAACATCCACAAATTCCAACTGCTAATCAGTCAAGCAGTAGTAGCCTGCTGCCTCCCCCACCCCAGGAGTGACAGAGCAATTTCTGGCCAACTGTCTGCTCCATGGTACAGTACTCCCCTGGCCCCCATCCCACAGAGGGCCAGGCTCAGAGAGGGGCTTTGTCTTCCCCTGAGATCTCCCCTCCTCAGCCTTAGAAACCCACGTGTCGATGGACTAGTGAGGGAAGGTTACTCCTGAGAGTCCAGAGACATGGCCTGGACTGGGTGCCCTGGTCCCTCTCAGCACTCCACCTTACAGAACACCTCCTCCTCCTCCTGTCCCCCAGGTAGCTCCTAGCCATCACAAAGCAGGAACCAAACTGTCAGCCCAGTTCCTGCTGAGGGATGGTTATTGCCTGCATGGACGTCAGCCCTGCAGTGCAATGGCGGGACACGAGCGCTGCTGGCAGAGAGAGCACTTCCTGCCCAGGCAAATTGGATCTGCTGGGCATGAGGAGAAGACAGGTCAGGCCAGGCCCAGTTCCCTTCCAGCACTCACATAAAACCAGCCAGGCACAAGTTTCTTCCTCATACCACCCTATTCAAGGAAGGGGGCATGGTCTTGCAGCCCCCTGGGGAGTTCCCTTCACTCATATCCTCCTGGGTCCCATTCTGGCATGGTCACAGGGACTCTGGCTCTACAGGCTAGAGACTATTCTTCTAAGTTGGGGATGTGGACTGGGAGGTATAGAAAGCTTTCCGTGCCGAGGTCTTCCCTTCAAGTTGCAGAGACCTTTCTACCCACCACCAGCTGACTTGGGCCACAGGCTCTGCTGCTCCAAGGGAAGGGGTGAGATGAAACCCAGGAGCTCATGAGCCCAGGCCTAGCCTAGCCAGCAGCACTGGGCAAGCTGGACTCAGGGGAAGGCCTGAGATGACCACTGGGGTCACAGGAAACAAAAGTCTAGGGACAGGTCAGGGAGTAAGAAGCCTAAAAGAGAAGAGTGGACCCCAGCCCAATAGCTCCCCAAGAATCAGAGAGCTTGGGTGGCAGAAACAACTGCCAACCCTACCATGGCTTGGTGGTACTGTTTAATCCCTCTAGGACCGTCCTCAGCCACCTCTTCCCTATGGCGGGCCAAGCTGGTTGTGCCCAAATCTCCAGGCCTGCCCTAGTGGGGCCTGCAGATCTTACCTGTAGGGGATGCCACAAGCCTTCACTGAGCTGTACTGATTCCTGGAGAGGCTGACCCCAGGGTCAGGGAGTCTGGTGGGATAGGCCCAGACTCTTTTGCGAGGCTAGGGCAGCAGAAGAAACTGGCAAGACCCCAAAGGATCAGGTACCAAGGTCACCTCCTCATCCTCATTCTGTCCTCTAGAGTCTATTAGCACATGGCTGCTGCACCAGCTGCCTACAGTAACCAACCGCCAGGGAGCTGAGGGGCTGCCTAATCTCCCATCTGTGGCCACTGGGCTGGGACATCGCCTGACGGGCGGGCGGTCCTGGCACAGCGCCCACAGCATTGGATCGGTGTTTACAAGCTGGTGCCAGGGCAGTCCTCGCCAGTGACTCCAGCTAGAACCAGTCAGGCCCAGTGAGGGTGTGGGTGAGGCTGGGGGGACAGCCACACCCCTCACCCTGTCTCAGGGCAGGGAACCTGGCAATGGGCCAGCTGGGCGGGCAGGAGCACTCAACGAGTGCACACACTCTCTCTCTGGCTGGCAGGCCTGCCTCCCTATAAGCGGGGTGAATGAGAGCACTTGCTTTGCAAACAGGCTGAGCCAGGTGTGATCCCCAGTGCTGCCAGTGTCTAGTAAGTGGCTTCAGGCAACCCACCCTAGTTCTCTGAGCCCTCAGTTTCCTCATCTTACAAATGCAGATACTGATGCCTACCTAGCTCCTAGGGCAGACCTGAGGATTAAAGAAGTTGGTAATCTTCCTAGTTCTAGTCTTGTCCCCTCTAATCCATCCTCCACATTGTGGCCAGAGAGGACTTTCTGATGATACTTGCCCTGTTGGAAACCTTCATTGGCAGACTCTGCCCACAGGACAAAGTTCAAACTTCTGGCCTGGCATTCAAGGCCCTGGGTGACTCAAACCTGTGCCTGCCTCTTTTTCCAGATCTCTCTCTTGCTGCCCACCTGGAATCTGCACTTTCGCAACAAACTGCATGCCACTTGGCCCATGCTCCAAGCTTGTTGCTGCACGTGCTATTCCCCTGCCTACACCACTGCTACTTCCAAGCAGGCCCTTCACCTCCACCGGACCCTCCCTGCACTCTGGCCCAGATTCCTGCAGGGAAACTGGAAGGCCTAGGCTCAGGCTGTAGCCCAGTGTTGGCCACCTAGCTCCAACCAGGGCAGGAGAAGACTCAGTGTAAACATCCAACAGAAAGATGTTCTTAGGGTTAGGTCGAGTCCATGGCAAGTGCTATCCTCAGCTCCCCCTCAGGGCCTTCCCACTGCTGACCCATGTTCCTGGCTGCAGCCCTTCAGGGGTCCTGGCATCATAGCTCAGTACCTCACCATGGCCGGAGACCAGTCTGTTCCAAATGTCCCTCACTGGACCCTGGTCAGCCCCCTTCCTTGGCTCCCAGCCCTGCTCCTATCCTCTTTGGGACAGGGCAGTGCTGACCCAGGAATCTCAAGCCCACTCTATCTGCAGGGGTCACCAGCCTGTGCCACAGCCTGGTGGGAAGCAGGCGGTACATGGGAGATGAGGATGGTCAGACGTGGCACTGGCTGTAGGCCTAGGAATCTGAGAGGGACACGGGGACCTGGCTATGCCTGGCTGGGTCCTTTTTCCACCTATAACTGAGCACAGTTACCTCTGCTCAAGTGCCTGTCCTTGCTGGCAACAGTCCAGGTGGGGTGAGCCTGAGAGCTATGGCCTGAGTGGTGGCCCGTGACCCTCCTGGAAGCAGTCATCCAGGAGCCAGCTCTGACAGGCAATGCAATGGAGCACCATCCACTCCTGCCGATCTTATCTGGGCCTGCCTCGGGCACCTAGGGATGGAGAACCTGTTTCATGCAGCCTTGCGCCCATCACGGGAGCCAGAAAGTG